ATTTTATTTTTGAAACTGCACATATCCTGATCCTTTACAGTATTTGCTTCCACATACTGTATAAACTAGGAGTTGGCAACCTGCGGCTCCGGAGGCGCATGCGTCTCTTTCCTTCTGTAGAAGGAAAAACTTTCTTAACGTTTTTAAATGCTGTAAAATTGTGCATAAGTAATATTCCATTTAAACATTTCTGTAAACGTAGTGTGTCATATCCTGCGACGTAGGCCCAGCTAAAAAGAGAAAGAGTCGATAATAAGACTGGACTAAGAGTGAAACTTAACATTTGCTTTCAGTCAATGAGGAAGGACTGCTTCATGTTTGCGATGTATTGACAAGTTTCTGTGAGATAATTGTATCTGTGCTTAGAAACTACAAAAATGGCCGATCGGGGTGGAGTTGAACCTGTGTCACCTGAATGGGGGCGTGGTCAAAAGCGCCTCAGAGAGACAGCACCAAAACAGGTTACTCTCAGACGCACCCCAGAACAGGTGTAGAAGAAAGGCCCGTGGAGCTACAAATAATGAGACTCAGAATCAATGTAAAAATAAATTATTCGAAAACACGATATGTCCACTTTAACCTTAATGCATGAGAAGCTGATTTCAACATAAGCTAGCTGGGTCCAAGCTGGAGCTACCCCCGCAAATGAAAGCACCTGATTGGTCAATCCTTATATGGCTCACAGAGAGCCATATAAGAGCCATGTTGAAACTGGTATGTAACCGTCAGACCAAACAAAAATAACTCTGTAATAAACCCATGTCTCTAGTTCCTAGTTTCTAGTTCTAGAGTGGATAGTACTCTCACTTCTCAGCAAGAAGGTCCTGGGTTCGAATCCCAGTCGAAATAGTGCCTTTCTGAGTGGAGTTTAATTCTCGCCAGGCCTGCGTAGGTTTCCTCCGGGTGTGAATGGAAGGTCTTGGTTGGGGGCTTTGATGCTCCAGTGTGTATGGCATCTCGCTTTCATCATCGTGTGTGAATGGAAAAATATATGATTTCTGAACATGTGCTTTGGGTGACCTTAGTCTGAAAAATGCGCTGTATGAATAAACATTACTTCTGGGTTAGGGTTCTATCACTAGTTTTCGCATTAAGTATGTTTGGCAGCTTTGCCAGACAGAAAATTGAAAAAGAGAGGCCCACCCTCACTCAGCCAATCAGCTCTTTACTCAAAGAGTCAGATAGTGACTCACAGGGCTGAAGTAACTGTGGGACTTTGTGCTCAAAAAAACAAATCTGTCCACAACTTGTGTAATGTCATAATGGAGTGAGGGAGCGGCACAAAAGCTTTCAGAATGATGAAGTCTTATACACTCACACACACACACACACACACACACACACACACACACACACACACACACACACACACAGAGGTATGAGTTCAGAGTCACTAATGCAGTATTGATGGTGTTTAACCTCAGAGCGGCGGTCTGCCCTAACACTGCTGTAGTTCTGAAAACAACGCTTTAGAGCCGGTCCCAAACACGCCTCTCTTTGGACTCTACCCTCTCTCTGGACTCTACCCTCTCTCTGGACTCTACCCTCTCTCTGGACTCTACCCTCTCTCTCTCTCTTTGGACTCTACCCTCTCTCTAGACTCTACCCTCTCTCTGGACTCTACCCTCTCTCTCTCTTTGGACTCTACCCTCTCTCTCTCTTTGGACTCTACCCTCTCTCTCTCTGGACTCTACTCTCTCTCTCTTTGGACTCTACCCTCTCTCTCTCTGGACTCTACTCTCTCTCTCTCTCTCTCTCTGGACTCTACCCTCTCTCTCTCTTTGGACTCTACCCTCTCTCTCTCTCTGGACTCTACACTCTCTCTCTCTCTCTCTGGACTCTACACTCTCTCTCTCTCTCTCTCTGGACTCTACACTCTCTCTCTCTCTCTCTCTGGACTCTACACTCTCTCTCTCTCTCTCTCTCTCTGGACTCTCTCTCTCTCTCTCTCTCTCTCTCTCTGGACTCTACACACTCTCTCTCTGGACTCTACACACTCTCTCTCTGGACTCTACACACTCTCTCTCTGGACTCTACACACTCTCTCTCTCTGGACTCTACACACTCTCTCTCTCTGGACTCTACACACTCTCTCTCTCTGGACTCTACACACACTCTCTCTCTGGACTCTACACTCTCTCTCTCTGGACTCTACACTCTCTCTCTCTGGACTCTACACTCTCTCTCTCTGGACTCTACACTCTCTCTCTCTGGACTCTACACTCTCTCTCTCTGGACTCTACACTCTCTCTCTCTGGACTCTACACTCTCTCTCTCTGGACTCTACACTCTCTCTCTCTGGACTCTACACTCTCTCTCTCTGGACTCTACACTCTCTCTCTCTGGACTCTACACTCTCTCTCTCTGGACTCTACACTCTCTCTCTCTGGACTCTACACTCTCTCTCTCTGGACTCTACACTCTCTCTCTCTGGACTCTACACTCTCTCTCTCTGGACTCTACACTCTCTCTCTCTGGACTCTACACTCTCTCTCTCTGGACTCTACACTCTCTCTCTCTGGACTCTACACTCTCTCTCTCTGGACTCTACACTCTCTCTCTCTGGACTCTACACTCTCTCTCTCTGGACTCTACACTCTCTCTCTCTGGACTCTACACTCTCTCTCTCTGGACTCTACACTCTCTCTCTCTCTGGACTCTACACTCTCTCTCTGGAGTCTGGACTCTCTCTGATAACACATTTTTAAAGATGTGGTATGAAACAGCAGTTCAACTAGTTGGTCCGCCAGCTTTAGAGTATGCATATGATATCATGAAACAAGAATTATAGATAACATGACATTATGTTGTAGAAGAGGGTCTGTGAAATTTTGAAGGCATCGTGAGAAATCTTGGAACATGTGAGAAATGTTCTGGATAGCAGCTTTAATGAGATGGAAATCTAGTCTCAGACAAGAGGAAGACCTGCTATAGTCTTGCCATAGTCCTGCTCCTACTTTAGACCAGGTCCAGTCAGTCCCTCCCTGTTGCTTTTGCAGAAACCCTCAGTATGACGTCATCGAGACTGGAAATCACCGCCTCGTGCTGCTGCCGCGCGTCACTGCAGTGTTTCTGCCGCTCCCTGCCGCGCGGCAGAACACAGCAACATGCGGCTGGACGCGGAAGTGCGAGGCAAGACGCGGAAGCACGCGTTTGCCCTCGTTTAGAGGTCATGCACACGCCTGTGCTCGTGCACGCGCAGAGGATCCCCCTCTGTCCGCGCAGGACACACCCAGCCCCGCGGCAGACGCGGAAAACAGGCGCCTGACGCCATGACGCACCGCAATATAGTCCACACGGTCCGCACTTTACCGCGTGTGTCTGTGCGCGTGCGCTGCGTGCACGTGCACATTCCACCTTAAACAAACAAACCCCCAAACCCCCGCGGAACAGACCAGCAGACGCGGCACCCGCTCTACTCGTTCAGCCTGTAGCGCAGGATCAGTCACACTGACACAGACCCATAAGGAACAGTCCACCTTAAGAGGACAGAGGACAGAAGAGAGAGGACTGAAGACAGGGAACAGAGGACAGAAGGTAGAGATTGGACAGGGGACAAGCAGGTGCTGCAGCAGTAGTCGCACAGAACTATACAACTGTAGTAAGCCTCATTCTCACGGCTGGAGACAGCTGTCTCAGAACCACTGGGTATCGAACATGTCTTGCGGCCAGGCCTTTTTGCCGAGACGTGAAAATGTGAACGCCGCAAATACAGCTGTAATTTAAACCTAATAAAAGCAAAGTTTGTTATAACTCATGCACACCGGGGAAGGAGGCGCTAATAAAACGACACACAATTCTCTCTGGCCTCTCTCTCTCTTTGGCCTCTCTGGCCCCTCTCTCTCTCTCTCTCTCTCTCTCTCTCTCTCTGTGGCCTCTCTCTCTCTTTCTGGCCCCTCTCTCTGGCTTCTCTCTCGCTCTCTTTGGCCTCTCTCTCTCTGGCTTCTCTCTTTGTGGCCTCTCTCTCTGGCTTCTCTCTCTCTCTCTCTGACCTCCCTCTCTCTCTCTCTCTCTGTGTGTGTGTGTGTGGCCTCTCTCTCTCTCTCTGGCCTCTCTCTCTGGCCTCTCTCTCTGGCCTCTCTCTCTGGCCTCTCTCTCTGGCCTCTCTCTCTGGCCTCTCTCTCTGGGACATGTGTGGCAGGTGAAAGCCTGGTCACGCCTCTGAAGTTACGCGGGGCAGGACCTGGTTAGTACTGTGATGGGAGACCTAATATTAGATGCTACAGTGCGGCAGCATGCGGCTGTGGAGTGTAGAACTGTCCCTCAGCAACCCGCTTCCCCCACAAGACGCAACTTTGAAAAAAGGTCATATAAACCTCAGCATAAATATAATAATAACATCATAAATATCATTAGTATGGGAGTTCCTCTACTTTCAGTAGCTATGGGACAAATGAGTCATTTTGATGAATCTACAACGTGGGACGAAAGAGAACTGTCTATGAGCCAGGACACAGAGAGGAACCTGGTCCAGTCCTGATCACCAGCCCTGGAACAGTTAAGATATGGTTCAGACCTGGTACAAACCCAGTTCCGTCCCGGTTCAGTCCTGGTACAGACCAGGTTTAGACCTGGTTCAGATCCAGTTCGGTCCCGGTTCAGTCCTGGGACAGACATGGTTTAGTCCTGGTACAGATCCTGTTCGGTCCCGGTTCAGTCCTGGTACAGACCTGGTTTAGACCTGGTATAGTCCCGGTTCAGTCCTGTTTGTGCCTCAACTGTGATTACAGGATCTCTGCAAACAGACTGGTCCAAACTCAGACCTGGTTTATTGGTCTGGGGTGAGAGGGTCTCATTTGGGGGTGCACTGAGGTCTGTATGTGGTCTGCACCAGGTCTAGACCTGGTCTGGTTCAGTGGTTCGGGTCTGGTCTCCGATCTTGTACTGGTGATATTGGCACGCGTCTCTCCCCGGGAGGGGGGTGAGAGGGGGAGAGGGGGAGAGGTGTCGCGTGCAGTCTCGGGGTGATGGATGTGAGTGCGCGTGCGCGTGGCCGTTACCTGCAGTGGTCTTGTGTCCATTTCCCGCGACGGAACAACTTCTACCGCCCTGCGCCAGGAAGAGCTGCAGCTCCAGTATAGTGCGCGTGCCCGAAGTCCCGTGTGGTCCTGTATGTCCACGGGCGTGCCCGTGTGTCCCGTAGGTCCCGGTGCGGTCCCCGTGTGTCCCGTAGGTCCCGTAGGTCCCGTGTGTCGCGGTATTCCGTGGTCTTCTGCGCTCCTCTTTGACGCTGCTGTTGCTTCTTGCCGCTGCGCGGGCACGTGGCGTGTGCGTGAGCCTGTGCGCGCGCGTGTGGGTGGGACCCGCGGAAACACAACCCACGTCCGGATCCGCACCGGGGCGGGGACTGGGCTTAAGGAGGACCGGGACTCAGTACCAGGACCCTGTCTATTACTGTGCCATAACAGGACTCAGACCAAGGACCGGTCTATTACTGGACCGGACTATAACCCGTTCAAAACCAGTCTATAACCAGTATATTTCCAGTCTATAACCAGTCCCAGACTTGAACCCAATCTGGGACTGACCCTATAGATGAAATGCAATGAAAAGTTTTAGTGTTGAAGTCGGTCCTCACTTTGATACAAACTCTCTCTCTCTCTCTCTCTCTCTCTCTCTCTCTCTCTCTCTCTCTCTCTCTCTCTCTCTCTCTCTCTCTCTCTCTCTCTCTCTCTCTCTCTCTCTCTCTCTCTCTCTCTCTCTCTCTCTCTCTACTCACTCACTCACTCACTCACTCACTCACTCACTCACTCACTCACTCACTCACTCACTCACTCACTCACTCACTCACTCACTCACTCACTCACTCACTCACTCACTCACTCACTCACTCACTCACTCACTCACTCACACACACAGATAAACATACACACGCACACAAAGATCCCCCCCCCCCCCCCCACACACACACATTTATTTATTTGAGTGTACACAACAAACATGTGAAACACAAAACCATTCATAAGTCTAATTTGCAATGTCCGTCCCTAGAAGCACGTTGAACACAATAAAAACCATTGTTAAATTCACACTATACAAAGGCAGCTGCACTTCCTCTGCATTTGACCCATCCTGATGCCAGGAGAGCATTTATCATTTATTTATTTGTCTGTTATATCGATATAACAATAACAATAAAATAACGATAAAATAAATATTGTGCAGGTTCAAAATAAATACCTTAATACATTGAATATATATATATAACCGGCCCAGTCCGACTAAGAGAGTTCCAGAGCTTTGCCCCTTTAGTTAGTGATGGTTGAAGCCATTTAACTATGACAGGTTGAAGTCTATTGTGGTAGTTGTACCTTTGGAATAAGTTCTTCATCGTCTCTAGTTCTGCCCTAGACCTGCTTTGGACTTCCTCAAGACCTGCTTTTTAGTCCTGCGTTAGTTCTGCTTTTGACCTGATTTAGCCCTGCTATAGATGTGCTTTAGGTCTGCTTAAGACCTGCTTAAGACCTGCTTAAGTCCTGCTTTAAACCTGCTTTATAGGTCTTAGTCTTGCTTTAAGCCTGTTTTAGTCAGGTCTGAAGTCCTGCTCTAGACCTGCTTTAGACCAGCTTTAGTTCAGGTTCAGTGCTCATTTAAACCTGAACTAGTCTCGGTTTAGATCTGTTACGTTATCGCCAGTCCGGTCTGGGCTCTGGTCCGTTGCCGGGGGCGACTGCTGGATGCTGCTGATGCCGTTTCCTTGGAAACCGCCTCCTCAGCATCAGCCACAGCATCTCTGCCCACACATCAGCACAGACCTGGTTCAGTCCTGGTTCAGTACTGGTGCAGTCCTGATTCAGATCACGTTCAGTCCTGGTTCAGTCCTGGTTCAGACCTGATTCAGACTTGGTTCAGACCCACTTGGAGCTGTGACATCTATCTATACCTCTATACTCTATACCTGCTGTGACGCCACCTGTAGGCGAAAGCCAGTTCATGTCAGAACGCTGAAGCTCAGCAGAGCGGGTCTTGGATAGTACTGTGATGGGAGCAACAGCAGGTGCCACAGTGGGGCAGCTGCGGCTGTAAAGTGTCAAACTGTGGTTGTGTCCTGAGGCAAGACACTTCACCCACATGAGTGTGATTCTGGTGCTCGGTTGGTCATTGGACCACTGCAAACTTACCTACACATGCCCGTCCACAGAAATAAACAAGAATTAACAATAATGTTCCATCCATCCTTTTTCTTCCCCTTTGTCCATTTCTGGGTCGGGGGGTGGCAGTCAGAACTGCACCCAATCCACATCGCACAAGCCCCTCACTGATCCTCCTGCAGGTATGTCCACAGGATGGACAATCACAGGTCAGTGAATCAAACCATTTGAACAGGTAATGTAATAATAAATAAACAAACAGGACTGAGAGAAAAAGGCTTTAGATCCAGGAATGAGGCTGTAGATCCAGGACTGCTGCAACCTCATTGTGAGGGAGGGGGGAGCATCATGCTGTGGGACTGTTTTTCTACACAGATTATATTTAGATTGAAAACATTAAAACATGTGTTTGTGGCTCGTGACCCGGATGCCCCACACCTGGTGTTTGCATGTTCTTTGTGTCTTAGCGTGTTTGTAGAACATCTGGATTCACCAGAGTGCACTGACCAGTTAGGGTCCAGGCTAACATGCTGCATGCTAATCACATCCTACGTCTGTCCCTATTACAGATCTGGAGATGTTGTTGCATCTATCCATGCTGATATCAGGAAAAAAGACAAGAGAGAGAACAAAGACCAGAGAGGAACCAGAGACCAGAAAGAGACCAGATAGAAACCAAACACATACCAGAGAGACCAGAGAGAGACCAACGAGAGACCCGAGTGAGGGACTGGAGTGAGACCAGAGTGAGAGACCAGAGAGAGAGACCAGTTAGAAACCAGAGAGCGAAAGACCAAAAAGGGGCCAGAGATCAGAGAGATACCAGAAAGAGAGACCAGAAAGAAAGACCAGAGAGAAAGACCAGAGAGGGAGAACAGAGTGAGAGACCAGAGAGGAGAGACCAGAGAGAGACCAAAAAGAAAGACCATAGAGAGAGAGACTGGAGAGAGAGACCAGATTGACCAAACAGAGGGAGACCCAAAAGGCCAGGGAGAGGCCAAAGAGACCAGTGAAAGAACAGAGACCAGAGAGAAAGAGACCAGAAAGAGAGCCAAGATAGAGACCAGAGAGCGACCAGATAGAGAAAAACCAAAACGGGACCAGAGATCAGAGAGAGATACCAGAAAGAGAGACTAGAGAAAGAGAGAGAGAAACCAGAGAGTTAGACCAGAGCAAGAGACCAGAGAGGAGTGACCAGAGAGAGAGACCATAGAGAGAGAGACTAAAGCGAGAGACCAGAGGGGCCAACCAGAGAGAGACCAGAGAGAGACCAGAGAAATTCTGATCATAAGTCTCCATCCTCTGAACAAACCCACAGATCTGCCCTTCAGCTGTGATGAACAGTTCATGTGGAGTTGCACTGTGATTGGCTCAGCTCGTCCCTCTGGAGCCATTATTCCGCCCCCCTGCTGGTGACTGACAGCTGTCAGTCCTCGGCTCTCCACATGAGTCCCGCCCCCTGCATAGGAAGTGTCAATCATCCTGATATTTACACAGAAATAAGATTTATTCAATTGAATTATGTAAGGGATAATGTATATTATTATATGACTTGGGCCGCACGCGCGCTCTGATTGGTTGATTTGCGGTCTGATATTTTCCCATCTCGCATCGATACCATGACAATTGGTCCGAACAGCGCTTATCACATTTGATATCTTTCCACGGACCGTTACCATGACAATCGGTCCACAGCCCGTATCACACAAAACCAAGTTGGACATGAACATAATTCACAAATATCTCAAAAGCATTGGTAAAGACACAGACGAGAGTCATATAATAAAACATTTATTAACCTTGCTTGCTCGGTTAATAAGCCGTTATTACGCAGGTCATTATTGGAAAATAAGTACAGACAGGGCGAAGCTGCGCGTCGGGGTCCGCTTATTATACGGCTTTGTACCAACAAAACACACAAAATAAACTTCAGTCCACTCTTAGGAATGCCAAAAGGTTTATTTAATGACAGAAAACAAAATAGTTCCCAAAGGCTTTCCCGTGGCTATGCGAGTAACAGTTAGGCTAGTAACAGTTAGGCTAGTAACAGTTAGGCTGGCAACTTCCAAACTAGAACTCTCTTGAACTGCATGAAAACTGAACAAAGAATTCTGAACATCAGCGGTGAGTGACCCAAACATAAACTTAACCTAAATCCATAATTCGATCCTCTGCAAATGTTTCTATAATGTCCCGGAATCAACTTCTGGGTTTTTGGGTTCGCAATCTCTTTTTCTCGCATTAAAACAGTATTTTTGTCATGAAAACCTTAACAGGTACTTCTGAAAACCTCTGTGCATGTGTATTAAGACTGTATATGTATAATGTTTTCTCCCATTAACATTTAAATGCGTTGATTGATTGGTATTTGCGTTCATTGAGCGTGGCTAGCTCCGGAGTGGCCGGAACTACTTGCGTAGTAATCTACACATCTGAATAACAAGGACAGAGGTTGCAGTGCCATGGGCACCGGTCATTAGTGTGTTGAGAGGTCGGTTATAAAGAAATAATGACCAGTAGAACACATCGAAATTACATTCAAATCAATGGAGCATTCTACTGCTGCTGTGTAATTAAAATGAGTATATTTTTTTTATTTCAAACAAGCACAAGATTCAGATATATTCAAATAACGCATCTGTGTCGGCCACAGCCAGGTGAACAATGCTAACCTGCTAGCTCCATGCTAACCCGCAGGCTCCACGAAGCCGAGCCCACGGTGAAGTTTTTCTCTAACTCACTCTGGCTCATTAGGAGCAGATGTGTCGTACATGTGTGTAGTGCATGTGTGTGGTAGCCTGGCCTACCATTTTTATTGACCAGATGCATCAACGTCATCCAGTCACGTGATCGTGCATGAGCATTCGGCGGAAGTAGTGGAAACTAGTATTGCAGCGAGAACAAAACGGACACAACTCTTAAAAACATGACTCCTCTCCTTAAACGAGAAGTGGCTGCTTCAAGCACATGTTCGATTACGTTATCGGTGAAAGAAGGAGATCTTGTCAGGGCTCACAAAGAGCGGTGTTTAGAGAAGTTAAGGATCGCCGAACTGGATGTTGACCCGTACCTTCTCCCCACAGTCAATTTTATCAATTAAATGAAATGTCCAAATTTGCCCTACATGATCTTTTTCATTATGTCGTAAACAATGCTTCTCCTCACACTGGAGCAGATTTAATTACATTTTTCTGGTAGCATTAGTGCATTAGCAACAGTCTGCTTTTCTGTCTACAGCCAAACATGATACATGTCCTTATGTCCTTGCCTGTTTGAACAACCAACCGCACTGCTAAATATCACAGTTTTGGCTGTTATTCGGTGAAACAGGTTGTTTTGGTCAAGTTTCAGGAGGCCGCAGTTAGACTTCTGCCGTCTGTCATGGAGAGTGGGCGTGGCCAGGCATAACATGCCACTTTTGTTCTTGGCTTTTCCAGTCCATGTTTTGATGGTGAAATCACAATTTAAATGTCCATCCATCCATCCATTTTCTTCCCCTTAATCCATTTCTGGGTCGGGGGGGTGGCAGTCAGAGCTGCACCCAGTACACAGAGCACCAGCCCCTCACTGATCCTCCTGCAGGTGGTGAGTCCACAGGAGCTGAGATCTTTCAGTGGGAGCTTCAGGCAAAGTGGGGCTAAGTGTCTTGCCCAAGGACACAACGACAGCAGTCATCAGTGGGAATCGAGAAGTAGGTCTTATGGTGGGCTCGAACCCACGACCTTCGGGCCCAAAGGCCAATGCTCTACCAACTGAGCTACTGTCGCCCCACAATTTAAATGTTAAAATTATAATGAACAAATTAATGCCTAAATGTCCTGTTTTAATGTTGTAGTGCATTTAAACTCTTTAAACAACATCCCACTCCAACGCGGCTTCAAAATATGAGTTCTGAATTATTATATTCAAACAGCGTGAAGCAAAGCTAAGCTATATTTTATCATTTTAGCTCAAAGGTACACAGGTCAAAACATAGAAAAATCCAGAATGTCTGCATATCCAATGTTAAATTTAAGTAGCGCAAATGTGTTCAAGCAGGAAATATACTATATTTTATTTAACTAGCCCTCTCTTCAGAATGGGTCTTATTGCTAAAAATCTATATAATAGTAATAATAAATCATATATATATATATATATATATATATATATATATATATATATATATATATATATATATATATATATAGTAAATAATACAATGATGTTTTGAAATGTCCTCACTGTGGGATGAATAAAGGTTCTTATAATTTTTTGAGTACAAAAGCATTTGTAGTTGCCCCACGTTACCCATATTCCCCCTATAATTGTCTATATATTCATAAATTGTGACAGTACCTCAATGGGCCAGGGTAAATACATCTTACAGTGTTGCTAACTATTTACATTTTTCATTTTAAATATTGGCAAAACGGTCACAACACTCAGAACAGAGAAGTCTATTTAGTTATTGAGGAAAGTTCAGCGTGAGGCTTCTCAACAGACGAGACTCCGATGGAGACAGAGGCCGTAGCTCAGAGAAGCATCTTCAACATGAAGGCAAGTCAATGTTTACTCATTTAGTGTATAATTAAGGCTTGCTAGCACGCAAAGTATGATATGGCTACAAATGAATTAAGTTATTGTCACAAATGATTTGGGTGGGCATAAAACAGGTCTATGCCACACCCCAAATACCCCTATGGTGGACCAAAACTGTCAAAACAATAAACGAATGAGAAAAAAAAAAAAAATGTCACAATCTACTAGTACCATTGTTTTCTTGGCCAGGTATCCCACATAAAATAGATTTTATCTCAAGGGACTTCGTGATTAAAGAAGCTATACCCGAAAGAAGCTATAATGCGTTTTACAGTCTATGGTTTTACTACATACAAGTTGTATTAAAATCCGTAATTTAATTGAAAACTGGAGCTCATTGATTCAGCATGTGTCTGAATTTAGGCAGTAAAAAGTGCGAGTAGAGACTTAGCGGGACGCTCGTTCTCTTCCACTCACAGAACGAGGAGCAAATAGCCTGCATCCTCCAGCCTCTACAGCGCTGGTGGTAAACACAGCAGCATACATGCATTAAGAGTTCCGAGCTTCCGGCTCGACCGCACGGCATTGTGGGTAGTTTTCTCAAAAAAGTGGGCATCAAATCACGCTGCCATATTGGATTACATGTTGTGAACGTGATCTCTCTCTCTCTTGTATCCAGCCCATAGATTGTTTTAATAGTTTAACAATTCACCACCTTCAGACATTTTGAAGGTAAGGTAAAGATTGTTTTATTTAACAAAAAAGCAATGCATTTTTTTCTTGTGGTTTTAGATGTAAACATAACCGACTGACTATTGAGCTACATAGCTTATGCTATGAGATGGGCGTCCCAAGGAAAGGATGACGCCCATCTCCTGTGGGCGTCCATTTTTCGCTCCTGCTCCTCCCTTTTCACTTTCCCGCGAAGTCCGTGCGTGTCTACTGAACAGTCCGTTCGTGCGAACCGAGCGGTCTGTGCGTTGCGACGGCCGAACGCGCGTCACCTAATGGTGCGTTCAGACCAAACGCGATTTCTGCGGCCAAATCGTGTCTATCGCGCGGCTTGGGCCGCTTGTGACAAATTGTGGTAGCCGCTGTCACAGAGAAACTTGGCCGCGCGGCCAGGACACTAGAGGGCAGCCCCCGTTGAGAGCGTTGAGAGCGTTTAGGGGCGGGGCTTGTCTCTTTTGCCTGTAGCTTCCCAACATGGATGTCAGCGAAGGAGTTGCTTGGCTCTATCTGATAAATAAAGCCAGACAACGTCGTCAAAGGGCGAATCGACGACGTGTCTGGATTTATCAGATAGTCCGTAGACGGTTGGAGTTTGGTGAGTTTCACCATTTGCTCCGGGAGTTGCGCTCGGATGAGGGTCGCTTTCAGCGGTACTTTCGTCTCTCCCTGGCCCAGTTTGACGACCTACTGACCCGCATTGGCGCTAGGATCTCCTACCAGGACACCAACTACAGGCGCTCTATTCCAGCTGAAGAGCGCCTGTCCATCTGTCTGCGGTTAGTGTTTTTTTACCCCATTCGGAATTCCTAAATACTTACAAAGTGTGTCATTTTTCAATCACAATCCACAATGTAATAGCTCAGAAAACAGTATTATGCAACAATATGGTGTCTATGATTACTGTCTATGATGTTTACTGTCTACTAGTTTAACGTATTTTATGCTACACAAGTTTTGTCACGTGATTTTTATGAATGTAATTGTGATAAATATGTTCATATAATTTTGTAATTGCAGGTTTCTTGCCACTGGGGACTCCTACAGGACCATTGCGGGGAGCTTCAGAGTGGGCATATCCACCGTCTCCATGCTCATACCAGATTTGGTGGCAGCCATCTGGGACTGCCTCGTGGAGGAGTTCATGGCTGTGCCTGGAGCAGAGGAGTGGAGGTCCATAGCGCAGGACTTTGAGGTCCGATGGAACTTCCCTCTGTGCTGTGGGGCCATT